GGTATATTAATGGTCTGTGATCTGTTTTAATTGCAAAGTGATTTTCATAAATATATGGTCGAAAATGTAATATTGCAGCTAATTCCTGCTCACTTGTACATTTATTACTTTCTCCCTTAGTAAAAGCTCTCGATGCATATGCGATGGGAAGTTGGAGTCCGTTATGGTTTTGAGTTAAAGCCGCTCCACATGCTTGTTTACTTGTTCCATTAGTTTTGTTTTTAAATATTGGAATGCGTTTTGGAATTCATCTGTCCATTCAAAAGTAACATTCTTTTTACATAATCTTGTTATGTGCCGTGAATATTCGGCGAAATTTTTAATAAAACGCCTATAATAATTACAAAATGCTATGAAACGTCTAGCGCTGTTCGCATCATGTGGGACTGGATAGTTCATAATGACATCGTATTTCTTTTCGTCTGGAAGTATTCCTTTATTTATGACCGAGAAAAGTCCCCTCATGCATAAAAAATTAACATTTTTCTGGATGTAACATTAGATTGTATTTCCTACATTTCTTAAAAACGTCTGTTAAGTTTTTAAGCATATGTTTTTCGGAACAACCTATAACTATCAAATCATCCATATAAAGGAGTGCTTGTGAAGGTTCTAATCCAGAGAATGCAATAGTCACCATTCTCTGAAATGAATTAGGCTCTATTTTTAATCCGAAAGGTAATCGCGTGAAGCGATACGAGCCTTTGCTCGTTGAAAATGACGTTATATCCCTTGAATTTTTTTCGGGATGAAAAGGCATGAAAAATATTTTGCTCTTCCCAGTTGGTCCAAAATATCATCAATTCTTGGGAGTGGAAATTTATCGGACAAAATTTTGTTATTAATTTGACGATAGTCAATCACTAATCGCCATTTCTTTCGTTGCGAACCTGGAGATGGTTTTGTAGGAACAAGTAACAATGGGCTATTATATTCAGATACAGATGGTTCAACAATCCCGTCTTTGATCAATTTTCCGACTTGTTTTTGAATTTCGTTCACTTGACTGTGTGGGCTTCTGTAATTTTTTATATACACTGGTGGATGATGACCTTTAATCTCAGTTTTTGTTTATAAAAATTATTCGTACTTATTGGTTCGGTTTCCAATCCGAATATATCATTATATTGTGTGCATAGACTTGAAAGCTGTGACTTGAATTGTGGAGGGAAGTTTTTTGAAAGTTGAGATAATACAGACTTTTCTCTATTTTCTAGATTAGTTTTGACTACATCGTAGTTCGAAAGTGATTCATAATCTACATTATTTGTACTGACTACTTGATCTTTATTTGTGGTATTAAGTAGTCTTATGAAAGCGTTTTTAGATGTTGCTATGGTAGTTGCTATTATAGTGTTCTTGATTTTATTCTCCTTTTGCTTCCGATCACTACGGCCACGCTTTCTTGAATGTTCCTTTTTTCCCTTCGTTTTATGCCTATGGCAGAAAACGATGAACATATCGATACTTTTTACCAGGGATCGCACATACAATATATAAATTCAGGGTTACACACAAAATATAATATAACTAACTTAAAACTACTTTGGCCAAGTTGACTAGGAGGGATTGCTTACATAGTTCTTATTACTACAATTCGGCCGTCCTGACTATGAGGATCTCCCGATACTCGTTGACTTACTTCTAGTAACAATGCTACTTTGGCCATATTTATTTGTTTTACAATTGTCGTTTATATCTATGTTTTTACTATTATTTCCAGTATTACTGTTTACAATAATATTATTTGTATTGCCAATTTCCTCCGTAGGATTCATTTCCTTATCTTTTATATCTGAACTTTCATGAACATCAATTTTTTCTTTTCCATTAAGCCAGGGTTTCATATTATGCACCGCCCATATACCAGAATATGGCACTTGGGACTGCTGAAAGTTCTCTACATCTTCAATAAAGTACCTATCATTATCTAACACCTTGGACACAACATAAGGCCCTTTAAATTTGGGAATTAACTTACTGGACACACCCTGCTGCGAATTGAAATTTCTTACAACAACATAATCTCCCTCAAAAAATATTTGCGGCTTTTGTCGTTTTGAATCAACATAGTTTTTGTTATATCCTTGCGATTTTTTCTGGCATATATCAGCTTGTAGTCGTATTTCGTTTAGGTCTTTGTGCAAAATTTCTTGACTCTCATCAATAAAATTTTCTTTTAAACTATCAATATAACAACCCTTCTGCCTAACCCCAAACAACATTACGCTTGGGTATTGATTTAAACTTCGGTTTTTTGTATTATTCATTGTAAACTCTACTTTGTCTAAAACTTTGTGCCATGCTTGATTATTCTCTACATCTGTTAACTTTGCTATCATTGGACCTAAATCTCTATTGACTCTTTCTACTTGTCCGTTAGCTTGTGGCGAAGCTGTTGCTACTTTAATATGTCTTACATTGTTTTGTACAACAAATTCCTCAAATTCCTTTGATGTAAAACAGCTGCCTCGATCAGATATTATGTTTTTAGGTCTACTGTACGATCTGAAATAGTTTTCTAACGCTTCGATTGCTTCTCTGGAACTAGTTGTTTTTGTTGGATATAATCTGGTGAATTTTGTACATGCGTCAATTATTACTAGTATGTGCTTCTTATTCGTTTCCTTGCTATTTATCGAACCATAGTGGTCAATGTGAATGACTTCAAACGGACTTGTTCCTTTCGGAATGGGATGTAAAAAACCCTCAGTTTTACCTGTTTTATTAGAAAATGCTTTAAGCAGTTCTTTATGTGAATCTCAACTTTCTTTCTTATACATGGAAACCAATAACTCTTATTGATAAGGTCCGCTACTTTGTCAATTCCTACATGCCCCATTTCGTCATGGTATTTGTACAGAACATTTTCTTCCATTGATTGTGGAACACAAAACAGTAGCCTATCGTTACTTTTCTTGTACACGACACCATTTCGTAATTCATAGTGCTCATCCTCTTGATTTAATAACATTTCTTTAACTCTATTTATATTTTCATCTCTTCCCTGACATATAATTAGATTTTCTTCGAAAGTATTTGTTTCAACTACGAGAATGCTATTACTTCGACTAAGTGCATCCACATGTTGCATTTTTTTTCCCGACCTGTGCTCAAGCTCGTAGTCATAGTTTTGAAGCTCTAAAGCCCATCTTGCTATACGGGGGTTTATTTCTTTTTTATTTAAAGTCAAAGTTAACGAATTGCAATCAGTTACGATTTTGAATCTAATTCCTTGTACATAAACTCGAAATCTTTTTAATGCGTTTATTATTGCTAAGGTTTCCAATTCGAAACTGTGGTATCTTGACTCTACATCGGTTGTACGTTTCGAAAAATAAAAGACAGGGTGAAATTTGTTATCCCTTTTTCTTTGTAATAATATTGCGCCATAACCTAATGAGCTTGCATCACAGTGCAACTCCGTCTCATCTCTTGGATCATATATTGCTAAAATTGGAGCTTCTATTAACTTTTCCTTAAGTATAGTGAATGCATTTAGTTCTTCTTTGCTAAAAACAAACTTCTTGTCTTTTCTGGTTAAATCGTAAAGTGGCTTTGCAATAATAGAAAAATCTTTAATAAATCTTCTAAAATAAGAGCACAACCCTATAAAGCTTGAGACCTCACTGACTTTTAAAGGCACTGGAAAAGACCTAATTGCTTGTAAACCCGTCTCGTTCGCTTTTATCCCATCTCCATTGACTGTATATCCCAAGTAATCAATGGATGATTGCAAGAATTCACATTTATCAAGTCTCAGCTCTAATTTGTTTTCAACTATACGTTTCAAAACTTCCTTTAAAACTTCGAAATGCTCATACAAACTCAAACTCAAACAGCAAATATCTTGTTAATAAATCTTTGGAATGTTGGTGGTGCATTCGTCAAGCCAAACGGCATTCTTAGAAATTCAAACTGCCCTAGTGGCGTGGTAAAAGATGTATATTTAATAGAATTATCATCCATGAACACGTGATGAAATCCGTTTTTTAAATCAAGCTTCGAAAAGAATTTTTTATTCGCTAATCTTTCCAATAAATCGTCAATTAACGGAATCGGGTAATTATCTTTAAGAGTGACCTTATTAAGACGACGATAATCGACACACATTCTAAGTTCTCCTGTCTTTTTCTTTACAAGAACAATTGGCGACACATATTCGGATTCACTTGGGCGTATATACCCATTGGCTAAATTCTCGTCTAATATTTTTTGAACTTCGGACTTTTCTGCGTAAGACAGCCTTCGAGGGGGACACCGAAACGGTTTATCACTTTCAATTGTGATCTTCATTATACATTTTATTTTAGGTGCCATTGGACGATCAGCTTCTTCGTAAAATATCTTGAACAAACACTTCAGCTTACTTATATTTTCTTGGCTCACCTATTTTCCTATCGTATACGTCGCTTTACCATCGCAAATAACATTTATATTAAGCATATCTCTATCAAATGAATCCACTTTGTAACTTTCTTCATTCGCAACGATTTTGTCTAATCTGGTATCAACATCGTCCTCTAGAGCTTCATAGACCTCAACATTAGTATCCGCTACAACTTCTAAACATTTTGCTACCTCGGGCTTGCTCGACTTCTCTACTCTTTTCTCTACTTCTATCTGCTTCTCTACGTTGACTTCTACTTTGTTATTGTTTCCAAGATCGCTCTCTACTTTTGTCTCTACATCTACCTGTTTCTCTACATTGACTTTTACTTTGTTTAATAAATCACTTTCGAATTTTTCCACTAAATGTATACCCACTGGCTTAACAGATAAATGGTTAACATCGTTAACTACTTGTACAAGTTTAAAATTACTTAGACTTAGAAAATCGCGTCCTACTACCATTGAGTACCTTACAGATTCATCAGTTACAACCAATAATTCAATTAATACGTTTTTATTTAAACTTATAATTAAACAAACTGTTTTTCCAATTATATTTAGTTTACTTTCATTTATTCCATAGAATGTATTATTCAACTTGTCTTTATCAATGATTACGTTACTGGGAACTGCGGATTTCTTTAGAAACGAAACGGGACTTCCCGAATCTATGAGGCACTCTATGGAATACAATTTATTAGAATTATGTATCGTATTTTTAAATTGAACTTTCAAATTTCTTACATATTCGTTGTTATTCTCTTTCTTCTTGTACAATGAACACTCTCTCGCCAAGTGTCCAACTTCTCCACAGGCATAGCAAGCTCCATTAGCCCGTACTGGCTTGCGACATTCCTTAGCCTGATGACCAAAACTGTGACAGTTAAAGCATTTGATGACCCTCTGTTCCGGGGTCACGGCGTTTGGTAAAGACGTACCTTGCATCCTACCTTGTTGTACTGGAGCTTTGGGTTTCTCTACATCTTGAAAGGCTTCCAACACATCAGCAGGCACTGCAAAACGTAGTAACTTCGCTTGGTTTTTAAGTTGTACATTTTGTATGCCATCTATCAAATACTGAACTAGTTCGTGAACAGTCATAGCGACGTCTTGTGCCAGAGTAAGCTTGTCAAAATAGTAAACGGCGAATTTCTCACCGAACTGCCACTTGCGGTTTTCAAACTTGCGTCGCATTTCCAATACGTTATCCTTGGTTCCAAAAACAATTTTTAATTGTGCCAAAATCAGGTCAATACTTCCAGACAACAGTGATGGGCGAGATAACAGCCAAAAATTAGCCTTGCCCTTTAAACGCGAGCAAATTAATGGACGCATGACGTCATCACTGACTTTGAACACATTTCGAACATTTTTAACCATCAACAACCATTCGTTTATGTTGCCACTGCCGTTGTATTCTGGGAGGAGCTCTTTGACGGTGTTTAAATTCATTTCTGGCTTTAAAAGACGGTCAGCATTTTCGAAATGTAAATTTTGCATCGCCTGTTCCATGCCCGCAGCGTTGCCACCCAACTCACTTCGTAGCACGCTAAAAGTTGAAGGGTTTGGTTGAACGCCGTTTCCTTCGAGTTGAATGCCATCACGATCAATCGCCTCGACAAGCTTAAGTTCGTCGCCGTAAACGTCTTCATCTTCTTCTTCGCCGTGTTCTTCGTTGTTGTTGACTGCCTTGGCGACAGCCATCTCACCGCCTTGGTCTTCGTTGTTGTTGTTGACTGCCTTGGCGACAGCCATCTCACCGCCTTGGTCTTCGTTGTTGTTGTTGACTGCCTTGGCGACAGCCATCTCACCGCCTTGGTCTTCGTTGTTGTTGTTGACTGCCTTGGCGTCAGCCATCTCAGCACCAATTTCACCAGAAGACTCCACTTTTTCGTAGTACAACTCCGGAGCAATTTCAGACGGTAGTACCGCACTTAACTGCGCAATTAGTGCAACTTTGTTTCCCTTTGTGGACAAGCCAAGTTTTTCACAGAAACTTTTGATTTCGATCAATTTGAGTTCGCCGAGATTAATGCGTGAAGCCATGTTAATAGACATATGCCTATTTTACTTGCTTAGGTTCAGTTACCACTTCTGAATTATAGTGTTCTTGATTTTATTCTCCTTTTGCTTCCGATCACTACGGCCACGCTTTCTTGAATGTTCTTTTTTTCCTTCGTTTTATGCCTATGGCAGAAAACGATGAACATATCGATACTTTTTACCAGGGATCGCACATACAATATATAAATTCAGGGTTACACACAAAATATAATATAACTAACTTAAAACTACTTTGGCCAAGTTGACTAGGAGGGATTGCTTACATAGTTCTTATTACTACACTATATAAATACCATGCTTAATTTCTTGATTTAAAATCAATACACTGTCTTCTTGTGAATTTAGTTGAATTTTTCTAATAACTTGGGATCTTGCTGGCAGAAGGCTTAAGTTGTTGCCAGAACTGTATGTTATTGGAACATAAATCGAAAATTTTAAGAAGTCTAATTGACAGTTGTATTTTTTTATAAAATCGATTCCTAAAATGTCATCACAATGGATAGCGAAATGTAAGTCCACGATATGAAAATCGTGTTTGATTATGTACTTAGTGGTCTGTATCTCAATAGAAGTTAACCCCTTGGATTTTGATACCTCTTGACTTATTCCTCTTATGTCTATAATATAATTATCTTGTGTCTCATGAAAGACATCCGAATTTTCTTTAACTATTGAAATGTCTGCTAATGTCGTCTACTAAGAAGACGAGTTCTTTTCCTGTAGACACATGATTGAATGATAAAAATATGTTCTGACTGAGATTAACGGTATGAACCCTTTCATTTTCTACTGTTGAGTCTCTAAAGGGTTTTGTGAGTTTCCCGATGTATCACCTGATGTATTGTTGGTAACTCGGACATTACCTTGGTTATTATTGTTGTGGCCTCCACTTGAGTTGCCACAGCCTCTATAGTTTCCTCTATAGTGGCCTCGTCCATTATTGTATTGGTTACCATTGCTGTTGTTATTAGCATTATTATATTGGTTACCATTGTTGTAATTATTATTATTACGATTACCAAAGTTACCTCTGTAATTTCCACGTCCGCGGTTTCCGCCGCGCTGTGAATAATTTTTGTAATATAGGACAGTGTTTGGCTGTCCGGTTGCTTCTGTGCAACTATTTACAAATTTTGATACGGCATCGTTCATCGTATTGAATGTACCAGCTTGCATGATAAGTTTTACCTTATCGATTGTACAATTTTTAGTCATTGCTTTAACTGCATGCTGAGTGGAATAGCTTCTGGCTAACTCTAGGGGTAAGCCGTCTGTTATATATGCACCTTCTAAAGCTTTTGTCATCTGCTCAACCTCTTGTGTGTACTGGTTAGCAGTTTTATTGCGTTGCTGTAGGTTCATCAGTTTTGCTGACAATACTTCTACAGTTTCACCTTTATTTGTAATGCATCAATGAAACTTGTTAAATGTTCAGCTTTACCATCGGGCGTTTGGTAAAGACGTACCTTGCATCCTACCTTGTTGTACTGGAGCTTTGGGTTTCTCTACATCTTGAAAGGCTTCCAACACATCAGCAGGCACTGCAAAACGTAGTAACTTCGCTTGGTTTTTAAGTTGTACATTTTGTATGCCATCTATCAAATACTGAACTAGTTCGTGAACAGTCATAGCGACGTCTTGTGCCAGAGTAAGCTTGTCAAAATAGTAAACGGCGAATTTCTCACCGAACTGCCACTTGCGGTTTTCAAACTTGCGTCGCATTTCCAATACGTTATCCTTGGTTCCAAAAACAATTTTTAATTGTGCCAAAATCAGGTCAATACTTCCAGACAACAGTGATGGGCGAGATAACAGCCAAAAATTAGCCTTGCCCTTTAAACGCGAGCAAATTAATGGACGCATGACGTCATCACTGACTTTGAACACATTTCGAACATTTTTAACCATCAACAACCATTCGTTTATGTTGCCACTGCCGTTGTATTCTGGGAGGAGCTCTTTGACGGTGTTTAAATTCATTTCTGGCTTTAAAAGACGGTCAGCATTTTCGAAATGTAAATTTTGCATCGCCTGTTCCATGCCCGCAGCGTTGCCACCCAACTCACTTCGTAGCACGCTAAAAGTTGAAGGGTTTGGTTGAACGCCGTTTCCTTCGAGTTGAATGCCATCACGATCAATCGCCTCGACAAGCTTAAGTTCGTCGCCGTAAACGTCTTCATCTTCTTCTTCGCCGTGTTCTTCGTTGTTGTTGACTGCCTTGGCGACAGCCATCTCACCGCCTTGGTCTTCGTTGTTGTTGTTGACTGCCTTGGCGACAGCCATCTCACCGCCTTGGTCTTCGTTGTTGTTGTTGACTGCCTTGGCGACAGCCATCTCACCGCCTTGGTCTTCGTTGTTGTTGTTGACTGCCTTGGCGTCAGCCATCTCAGCACCAATTTCACCAGAAGACTCCACTTTTTCGTAGTACAACTCCGGAGCAATTTCAGACGGTAGTACCGCACTTAACTGCGCAATTAGTGCAACTTTGTTTCCCTTTGTGGACAAGCCAAGTTTTTCACAGAAACTTTTGATTTCGATCAATTTGAGTTCGCCGAGATTAATGCGTGAAGCCATGTTAATAGACATATGCCTATTTTACTTGCTTAGGTTCAGTTACCACTTCTGAATTATAGTGTTCTTGATTTTATTCTCCTTTTGCTTCCGATCACTACGGCCACGCTTTCTTGAATGTTCCTTTTTTCCCTTCGTTTTATGCCTATGGCAGAAAACGATGAACATATCGATACTTTTTACCAGGGATCGCACATACAATATATAAATTCAGGGTTACACACAAAATATAATATAACTAACTTAAAACTACTTTGGCCAAGTTGACTAGGAGGGATTGCTTACATAGTTCTTATTACTACACTATATAAATACCATGCTTAATTTCTTGATTTAAAATCAATACACTGTCTTCTTGTGAATTTAGTTGAATTTTTCTAATAACTTGGGATCTTGCTGGCAGAAGGCTTAAGTTGTTGCCAGAACTGTATGTTATTGGAACATAAATCGAAAATTTTAAGAAGTCTAATTGACAGTTGTATTTTTTTATAAAATCGATTCCTAAAATGTCATCACAATGGATAGCGAAATGTAAGTCCACGATATGAAAATCGTGTTTGATTATGTACTTAGTGGTCTGTATCTCAATAGAAGTTAACCCCTTGGATTTTGATACCTCTTGACTTATTCCTCTTATGTCTATAATATAATTATCTTGTGTCTCATGAAAGACATCCGAATTTTCTTTAACTATTGAAATGTCTGCTAATGTCGTCTACTAAGAAGACGAGTTCTTTCCTGTAGACACATGATTGAATGATAAAAATATGTTCTGACTGAGATTAACGGTATGAACCCTTTCATTTTCTACTGTTGAGTCTCTAAAGGGTTTTGTGAGTTTCCCGATGTATCACCTGATGTATTGTTGGTAACTCGGACATTACCTTGGTTATTATTGTTGTGGCCTCCACTTGAGTTGCCACAGCCTCTATAGTTTCCTCTATAGTGGCCTCGTCCATTATTGTATTGGTTACCATTGCTGTTGTTATTAGCATTATTATATTGGTTACCATTGTTGTAATTATTATTATTACGATTACCAAAGTTACCTCTGTAATTTCCACGTCCGCGGTTTCCGCCGCGCTGTGAATAATTTTTGTAATATAGGACAGTGTTTGGCTGTCCGGTTGCTTCTGTGCAACTATTTACAAATTTTGATACGGCATCGTTCATCGTATTGAATGTACCAGCTTGCATGATAAGTTTTACCTTATCGATTGTACAATTTTTAGTCATTGCTTTAACTGCATGCTGAGTGGAATAGCTTCTGGCTAACTCTAGGGGTAAGCCGTCTGTTATATATGCACCTTCTAAAGCTTTTGTCATCTGCTCAACCTCTTGTGTGTACTGGTTAGCAGTTTTATTGCGTTGCTGTAGGTTCATCAGTTTTGCTGACAATACTTCTACAGTTTCACCTTTGACGTTGTTTTTAATCTGGAAATGACTTCAGTTATTGTTGTTTCATTCCCGGTAAGATTTCTGGCGACACCTTTTAGCTTTGTTTTTATTATGGAGACTGCTAATTGTTCGTGTTCGCCTTTTATTGATTCTATTATTTGTAATGCATCAATGAAACTTGTTAAATGTTCAGCTTTACCATCGAACACCGGTATAAGCTTGGATGCTGTATTAATAAAATTAATATTAGATTGTGCCATTGTGATATCGGTCCTTATTTTATTCTCTATTATGCTTGAACCATCATCAGAATCTGTAGAATTATCTAGATCTGACATTAAAACAGCTGGAATAGTAAGATTATTTAAATCTTGCTCTTCTATTTTAGGATGTGTTCCAGTAAGGTCTTCTGATTCTATTTCGTCAACGTCAGTTTGTTTTGTTAATTCCGGTTCATCACCAGTTTCAACAGTTAAAGAAGTGTTAAGTATAGTCGGTACTGATATGTCCAACTTAAACTTTTGTTTAATTGATATTAAATTAGATCGTAGTCTGATCA